ACTATTTTGTCCCAGTTGTGAAATGCTCACCTTCTTTCAGCGCCCGTGACGTGCCCACTGTGTTGTACTTAAAAGAAGTACTCGGGATCTTTTTCTGGGGGATAAGGCAACACGCCACATTTATTGAACACACATAGAAGAATCAATACTTATCATATGCATATGACATATCACACTCATGCACTCTCTCTCACACACACATGCACACTCTGTCTTGTTGTTGCCAAAAGTTGCTCCCCCTAACTGCACTGGCCAGGTGAGTTAGATGGGGGAGGGGGTGGAGCCAGGCTTCTGCGGATCCGGATTGATGCTCCCATGTTGACAAGACAAAAACTCGGGGTCCCTCTGCAAGATGCCTCCTATTTATCCCTCTCATGCAGCCAATTAGTTATCACCTCGCCTTTCTTAATGCTGCTTCAAAGAGAGTTCTTCCAAGGGCAGGCACTTGCTGCTTGACTCCCAAGGCCTCTGTATGTCCAGTCTTCTTAACGAGCTCACTTTACAGGTATTGTCCTAGATCTGACTCCCAGACCTTCTCCACCCTTGCAACTGCTGCTTGAGGTGCTCCCCTTTCATTCTCACCTCATTCACTTCAACAGGGCAATCAAGGAAAGGGGAGAGCTCTAAAGACATTTTTTTCTTACAAGATCTATCTATCTTAATACAAAGTTATAGGAGAAATGTTACAGAGATTCTATACGAACACTTAAAGATAGATCTAAAAGGACAAGATCTTAATACAAAATATAATATTACAAGGATTTATCCACAACTGCTTCTATCTTGATGGGAAATATACAGCAATCTCCCGCATGTTTACGTCTGTTCTGGGCTTCTTCCTAGAACATTTGGCCTTCGCACTTATCTCTCATACACTCCTCACTCGCTCACACACACAGAGCAAGGTTGATTTCTGTGCCACGGAGAAGCAACAGGCCCATTTGAACAAGGACATCAAATTACAATTAAATTGCCCCTCCCCCCCAAATCATCACCTCCTTACTTGTTTCACAATATTCGTTGTAAAACTTAGCACAAAGTACTAGGACTCTAGCCCTGCCTTGGAATCAGCTTTGGACACAATTTTCTGGCTGGTTCCCCTTTAGCAGTGGTAGGGTAAAGGTCCTTTCTGCTTTCAGAAAGGGGGGCCTTTGCCTAAGGCTACTGTGACGTAGTGGGGGTACTTGCTGGGATGTGGTGACCCCTGCTGTCTGGAGCAAGACCCAGCAGGGAAAACCTCATTATGCAAAGGTGACTCAAAAACCTGTCTGACCTGCGGCCCCCCATGGGGAGAAACAAAGGGAGGTGGATGCTGCCCTGGCTGTGGGCAGGGCTGGAAGAGGGGGAGTTAGTTCCTGGCTGGAAGGCAGGGAAGAAGGAGCTGGGGAGGGGCCTGGGACTCCCCTATCTCAAGGGGGGCACTGAGGCCTCTTAGCCCCAGTTCCTGTAACCAGATTACATCTGTGCTGCGCTGTGCTGGAGGAGCGATAAACCACCCTCAATTCCACCGGCTGGTGCAGTCTGTTTGTGCCATTTCGGGGTGCAGGAGACGGGGACCCCCCAACGCGCCGTCACAGCTACATTTTAGCTACACTGGGAAAGCCCCCGACTGTAACAGGGTTCAGAAAAGAGCTAGAGAAATCCATGGAGGTTGGGTCCATCAGTGGCTGTGTGGAAGGAAAGAAAGAAAGATCCATAGGCAGGAATTTCTGGGGGTGAGGGGTGCTTCTTTGGGTAAGAACTCACCCCTCTATGGTCCCCCAAGTAAGCATGCTCTGGCCGGCTGGGGGAAGACTGGGGCTGATTTCCCACTCACCACCCCCAGGAGTGCTCACCCCACCCTTGGCCTCCCTTGGGGTGGGGGAAGGAGGAATCAACCCCAGCCTTTCCCCGGCTGGCTGGAGCGCAGGGGAGGGAGGCTGGCGCAATGAAGAGAAACTTTCTGAAGCGAA